ACGAGATGAAAAGGGGGCCCGAAACGGCAAATGAGAGAGAGAGAAATACGCTGCATATCGTCGTCGTATGTAATAAAATTGTGCGGCAGGTAGTTATTACGATGGTTTTTCTTTGATGCTCACATTTTCGTTTGTTATTTTCGATGTTGATATTTGTTGCTGATTTTCAATCTCGGAACACATTAGTCGATCACTCTCACACCTCGAGACCGTATCGGCATACCTCACTTTTCTCTTTGTGCATATATACCCGTCTGAATTTGATTTTTCTTCTTTTTTTCGTTTTTCGATTGAGAAAAGGAAGAGAGAGAAAAAAAGTAACGATATAGCCAAAAGAATGTGTTGTTTATCATAATCGTCGACACCTTGCGAGGCATGCCGTTTTTTTTTGTTAGCGTATCTCTTTCGTACCAATTTTTCGTTCGATATTCTTCACTCGTCCGCTCGATTGATGGTAAGCTTCTTGCTTGCTTTTCATCTCCCTATGCACATATATATACACAACAAGCTAAAACAAATTATACTTCATCTTGACTCTCGTTTTGTAGGCACATCAACACGAAAAAAACTGAATAAGAAAATGTGTTCGTTGTGTTGTTGGCGGCATTGTTAGCCCTTTGACGAGTGCTTTTTCCACACACTTACCGCGCTTCAGAATTAACCAACGATGTGGTGGTATGAGAGAGGGAGTGAGCGAGAGAGAAAAAAAGAGTTGTAGTAAGAATTTAACGATCACAAGCGCGCAATAGGTAAAACATTCTGATCCTGTTATGTAAATGAATGTGATGTGGGCAATTTAGAACAGCAATCATCTTTAGATAAATTGGTTTTTCGTCTTTTTCGATCGATACAAATAAATGAGCCTGATTTACGGCAACAATCAATGGAAAATCAATATGAAACACAAGCATTGCAATGAATTCTATTCCAAATCGTTCATGATAAGCAAATAATTCCAACACTAATGAACATAATTAAGTGGACGTTCAGCGACTGAATAAAGCATTCAATAATAACGAGCACATTTTCTTCAACAGAACATGTAATTCATATTTATTTAAGGCCATTTTTTCTTCTTAACTAAAATGAATTTCTTGTCGAATAGGTGGAAAGGAGACAAGGTATGAGCATAAATTACACACATCCTACATCATTAATTTTTGTAAATTATGAAATCGCACACACACACATGCAAATTAACTCAATAACAATACAACGAAACAAGCAATACAGCAAACGACTGGTTTTTTTGGTTATTTGCTTAGATCGGCGTGGATACGGTGAAAAGTGCACAGAGTCTGTCAGTCTGCGATGAAAGGAACGCTGAAAGTGGTTAGAAATAAAGATAGACGGCGAAGGTAAGGAGTAATGCTCAGCACATGCAATTATGATTTTGTTGCTGTTTTTCGAATAATCATTTTTTTGCGGTTTCTCTTTTGTTATTGGTCATTTTAGCGGTTTTTCGTGCTGAATTTTGACACTGTACAATATTTTAAAGCATTATTTTGTGTTTTTTTTTTGTTTCAATTGGTTTTTTAAAACTACCATGGATATAAAACATTCTTTGAACAGCAAGTAATGTATTCAATGTTTATAAATGGGATAATTTTAGTGGCAAACTTTCTGGCATTTTTCATACGTACACTATAATGTATGCCGCATTTTATTAGTAATAAGTCAGTCTATAAAAGCTATAAAACATGCCCATTTGATTCGATGGTATTTGCCAAAATTGCCAACCAACAATGGAAATAAACCTCAGAAACGAACGAAAAAAAAATGCATAACTTATGATTTGTGTTGATCACTCACACTCGATGAATAATTATGGTACGAACAAGACGCTATAGTTTTCGAAATGATACCAAAATCACAATCAACAATGATAAACTTAACACACATACAAACGCTATGCATACTTGTGGATATTTGATTATGTAATTTCAGTAGTTGTAATATGCCGTTATAAACACTCAAATGTAACGCTTTAATTACATTGAAATATCTTTGATGTAAAAGTTTTAAACGGTTCCGCCCTTTATTTCCTTTTACTCTATTTTCATGTTATATATTTGCTCATTATATGAGCTTATCAACCTCACCACGTTCGATCAGCGGACTCACTTCGTTGAATGGGTTGATATATTTAACGATTGAAAAGAGGACGACTTGATATGTAAAAACAATATTTTGACATTTATATAGTTAGATCGAAATGTTATAGACCAAAACTAGTTTTAACAAATTGATTTTCCGTCGAATAAGTGCTGAATGTTAAAATATTTAGCGTTCAAATTAACAAGCCAAGAAAATGACAGTTATAATTAAAACTGTTCCATCTACAAATCATTTAGCAAAACTGTGTTGTGCTTAAGTCGTCAATGGTTTTTTTTTTCTTCATCTTCTTTCGTTTCTGATTATCGATGTTTGTTCGATCGAAGTGTGTCTTTTCATTTTTCTTTGCACATGGCCAATTGTGAATTGAAGCGTCCAAGCGCTTGAGTTGCGAAAGAATCATAAATTGAAACGTGATTGCAGAAAAGAACGACGAAATGTTCATGTACCAAATAAGCATGTGTTTATGATGTGTTCTGAAATGCGCGCAACTGAAGTACTTTCATAGAAATTAAAATTAAGTCGGATTCATGTATGTACAATAGGGTGTTTCCACATGAAAAATATTAAAAAGTGTTTATTATCATTTTGAAGAGCGTTAAATTCTGTATAAGATGATTTGATTTTTGATACTGATTGGTTGCCGATGTCACTTCCTGGACTTAAAACACATTTGTAAATTGATTTCATGTCGCATTCACGCCAAAATCTGTAATTGATGAAAATATAAGATTGAACAAAATTAAAAACATGAAAAATAATTTTAATATCAAAATAATTGCCTAAATATTAATAAAAGTAACACAAAAACTAACAATTTTACCACAATAAACCAAAACAATGCAAATTCGCCAATTCATTTGACAGAATGACATTTGAAGCGTGATTCGCTCACGCATGACAAATGACAGGTTATGTGTCAAATGAATTGGCAATTTTGCATTGTTTTGGTTTATTGTGGTAAAATTGTTAGTTTTTGTGTTACTTTTATTAATATTTAAGCAATAATATTGATATTAAAATAATTTTTCATGTTTTTAATTTTGTTCAATCTTAAAATTTCATTAATTACAGATTCTGGCGTGAATGCGACATGAAATCAATTTACAAATGTGTTTTTGGTCCAGGAAGTGACATCGGCGACCAATCAGCATCGAAAATCAAATAATCTTATACAGAATTTTACGCTCTTCAAAATGATGCTAGCCACTTTTTAATATTTTCCATGTGGAAACACCCTAATGTACAAGATGTATTTCTTCATTCCGTATATGATTCGGATGCCGAAATAAGAACTACATATAATATAAACACAAACGATAATTAATCATGATTAATGATTTGGTGTTTGCCGTCGTTTGGTGTGTGTGTGTATGTTTTTTTCGTTGCGGTATTGGTTGGATGTCTTTTTCCATTTAGGTTCCTTTTATCACGTACTTTTTGTTTTACTCGCTCTGGTTGCGCATGCCGTGAAAATGCAGCAGCTACCAGAAACACTGTTCGTGTCAATAATTACAGTACATGTTACGTTGATGCCATTACAGTTATTATGTACACAGTGAATTAAAATAATAATAAAAAAAAAACGAACGAACACGACAATTCATTGTGCTTGAGTCCAGATGAATACTTATAGATATTGAAGAAAAATGGCTAAGCACGAGAAAACCGCAATACTCACTCAGTACCACTTACCATTCAAAAAAAAAAAAAAAAAAAAACAAACCGTTTCCAAATTGTCATACTGTCATTGTCATACTGATGCGGATGAAACAAAAGAAATTATCGCAAATGATACTGTGTGGCATTAACTCGAATGCAATTTAGATTTGGTCACAATTATCATATTTTTATGATGAAATAGTATAGAAATTCACCTTATCGCGTGTCCATTTCATATGTTTAATTTGTGCGTATGACAATGCATAACAGAACATTGGCCCATTCACCGGCTGATTGTCTTTCGCATATGGACTTGAAATTCATATATTTTCAAAATCATTCATTTTTAAATATTTTCAGTTAGTTAGCATAATTTTACTTGAACAATTTTTTTTTTGGTTTGCGATGTTGAATTTCCTGGAATTTCGATTCAAACGAAGACATTTGGCAAACAGTGCAAAATTACTTTGCCATGAATTTCGTCTAGATCTAAGCGAATCAGCCAAGGGCAAAATGCACTATGAGCAATAGAGTAGAGACAGAATGTCTACGAATTCATTGGCTAGTTGAATCAAAAACGCTACTCAGATGAAAAAAACAGCACCACCACAATGTCTATTTTAAATGAAATAGTATCGCCTTTCGATTTGAACGAACATCTAAGAACACGTTGGAATGGATGGTCCGCATGCATCATTGTGAATCTCATCCAAATATAATAATCGAGCATTTTTGCAGAAGTAGTATATTTTACGAACGAGCGCGCACATTCAATCATTGCATATTCCCGTTTTTTCCCTTCGTTATTCATTGTTGTTGTTGTTGTTGATTTTCCGTAATAAAATTTCATATCTCTTGTCTTGGCCACGTTCTTTCGACGGCGAATGTAATCGCGGTTCTGAAATTGTGCGCTTTAATGCACGAAGGTTAATAGAAAAAGTGAAGTTAATGCAAAAAAACTAAAGAGAATGAAAAATAAAGAATCAATCTTCGACATTTTTATGAGCATATACTTCAATGATTTGTACGAGCAAATATGTATTTTTGTATGATTCTCTCACTGTCCGAGAATTAGTGCTCCGACACTAATTCATAAATATACTTGCGATGGAAGTTTTTTTCTTTCTTTCATCTCATCATGTTTACACTTCGCATTTTCACTTACTGAACACATTCCACATGCAAAACAATGCCAAAGAATTATTGATTCTCCGCAAATCACATAACTACTCATTGTTTTTATTGTTTCATTTTTCAAATTGACCGGCGTACCGGTGTGTTTTAAACATTTTTTTAAAGATTTATTAAAAATGATAAAACTAATTGAAGTTCACCAATCGATTGGGTTTTGTGTCTGTGTGTGTGATGTTTCCGGCCGACAGTGCAGGTAGTGCAATTTCCAAATCCACATGTTTCTCTTCGTTTAGCTGAGTGTGAACGTTTCGGCACCTTTGTTTACTGATAAAATCCCACCAGCTCCAGCTTCAGCAGCATCACGGTGGCATTCAATTTTAACACTTAATAATCTGTTCAAGTCCAACCACATGCTGCGCTGTATTCCAATATTATTTTTGTCATTTTTCAACCTTTGAATCTCCTGAGCAATAAACGAAAAAAAAACCACATATATACATGAAATCCAATAAATTTAAATTATGTGCTGCTCATAACACAAAATCGTATTTGAAACTGGATTTATTTTCATTAACAAAAAACGAAAGACCAAATTAACGAGAGAAAAAAAAGTGAGGTTTTTTCCTGCAATTCAGCAGAATTTGTATAATTTTTGTTTTGGTATTTGCTTTAGTTTCACATAATAAAGTGTGTCCTGTGCAAGAATATGTGCCAGTGAGTCTGTTAAAATGTGTAAGTGGAAGCCCTGCTCAGTAACTGCGGAAAACAAAAAACCCAAACAAAAGAGAGAGAGAGATCTCCCGTTTTTCATTACCTCTTTCACTGCAGCCAATGTATTCTCTTGTTCTTTGATCTGATCGGTAAGTGTTGCCTTCAGCGATAATTTATTCGAAGTGTTCCCTTCAAGCTCTTCTTGCGCTTTTTGCAGTAATGCTTTGTGCCGATTTTGTATCGTCTGCTCGCGCGAGTTCGCATTTTTGTGGTGAAAAAAGTGATTCGAAACCAAAAGAGGGAGAGAGAGAGAGAGAGAGAGAGAGAGAGAGAGAGAGAGAGAGAGATAAAAAACATACCAAAGCAATCATAAAATGCTTGCATTGCAAAAAAGGAGCATGGGCATTTATTTACTTATGCACAACAATCGAGAGCTTGTGTTCGCGATGGCTTATTTTTACTTTATTAAAAAAAATAACACCAACTACTATTCCAAGGCCCAACCGTCTGTTCATTTAAATTTTCTTTCGCCATATTAAATTCTTGGCCGTTTGTGTACAGTGTACATTACCTGCAAATGCTTCCATGTGCGTTCCAAATCTTTTATTGAATTTTCCGTTTCAGTTATTTCACTTTGAATCAATGCATATTCGGTATTCAATTGCGTTTGCAGTGCATTGTACGTCTGAAATGTATTCAAAAGAAAAATTCTTTTCATAAAATGAATTTCGATGCTTCTCGGCAAAAAAAATGATTGAACTAAGTTGAAACATTAACAAGGCAAAAAAAATGTGCCGAATTGTTTCAAAAGGAAACCGTAGAGATCAAATATTGGTTAGCGAGTGCTGCGAACATACCTTTTTCTTCTCATCGCAATCATCTTTCAGCAGCATAATCCTCTCCTTAAGCGGCTGCAATTCGTGCAACAATGTGCTGACTTCGTCCCGAGTCGAAGACACAACTTTCGATAAATGCGTTACCAGCCGTGAAATATCCATCGGAGTGGCATTGGCTATATCACTTAATGGTTTTATATCATCAGGCAAACCGCTGTTATCAGCATCATCGGATCCATTCGTCTGATTTGTTGTCGGTATATAAAGCGATGGATGCTGGTCTTTCAATTTCTCCAATGTGCGTTCCAAATCTTTGTATTCAATCTGAGTACGATACGTATAATGAGGGGGAAAAAGCATATTTAAAATAAGTAATTGAAGATAGTTTGGGTGTTGCACATTTTTCTGATTGATTTTATCCACATCGTTTATTTCTGTTCATATTTTCTCGTTCGATCTAATGAAGTCAGAAAAATGAAATGAATGAAATCTATACTCACTTCAAGGGCTGATAATTCGGCACGTTGTTTCTTATAAACTGAACTTTTGGCCTTTAACATATTTACGTACTGCTTTAAATCGTCACCGCGTAAATATGTTTCACCGACGCGTTCTTTCAATTCGGCCTGTTTTCGTGCAATGGTTGCATCAATTTCGCGAATCGATTTTGTTAGATCGTCTAATTGCTCGGCGGACGTTTCTTTTATTCGAATCACAGTGGCCGCTTGTTGGCGAAATGGCAATAAATTATCGGATTCACGTTCGACCAGACGACTTTCCGATATTGCCTTTGTCTCTCGGCTCAATTTATCAATCTGATTTTCAAGTGAAAGTTCGTGGTAAATAATCAACAGATTCACACACAGTTCATAATTAAATAGCATTACAATCGGTCTACCTGATTTTGCAGATTATTCAAGTACTGATTATTAATGTTACGTTCGTTGATTACATCTTCGTATGCTTGCAGCTCCAATTTTTTTGCTGTTATTTCCTTTGGCAACTTCTCTTCAACCATAAATTGGAGTACCTGTACATAAATATCGTTGTGGTGGTGGTGATGGTGATTGAAATAATATTTGAATCAATTTTAAACTAAGAGTAGTTGAACTGACCTGCGTCTTTTCCTCCAGTGAATTCATTATTTGCTGTGGCGATAGTTCCATTGAATTGGTGCGGGCAATTTTCATTTCATTTTGCAACCTCATGTGAATCTATGCAATTGTTTTATGTTAGATATACATATTTTTGCACGTTCACACATGCACCAAAAAAAAATTCCTTTTCGTTTATTTCACGCTTACCGTTGATGCTCTTTGTATGTCTTGTGTTTGGTGTTCAAGCTGCGTTTTGAGCTCCTTTTGTCGTTCCCTTTCGATTCGCAACGCATGAGCCGATTCCAAGACTAACTCCTGATTCGACAGCTTGTCTAAGCGTGACTGTGTGCGGTCGATCCTTTTTTTCACTGAAAATATATTTAAAAAAGGGAATATCGTTCAGGTATTTTTCGGTTTCTTGTTCTATTGTACGCAAAAAACCGCAAGTCAACAAATTAGATAGAGGTCAAGTTCAAGACAATCGATTAATTTTCAATTTTAAAATGAAATGAAACTAACCATTCTCTTTTTCCATTTCGATGATATCGATATCACTGCGTAATTCGCGCACCTGTGAATTTTCCTTCATCGATTTCTGATATTGTTTGTGTGCTTCTTTGAATTCACTCATTAAGATATTGTATTCATCTTGCAGCATGCCAATATCTGGATTGGCCAGAGCTTCAGGTGGCAATGCAATTGGTATTAAGTATCTAAGAAGCGATAAAAAAAATTACAATTTTCAACCGTTCAGTGTGCGTGAGACACGTTTAACTATCTAATAAACATAAAAATGAATCTATGAAGGAAAAAATTGCACGTCTTTGCGAATGCAACGTTTCAAATGGAAAAATAAAACGCAAACTTAAATGGAAAGCAAAGTAAATATACGACAAAAAAATCGTAACCCATAATTGAAATGTGAGTTTCAAACGATTTAATAGAAATGAGCATGAAGAGGAAATTATAAAAAAGTTTGAACATTTGAAAGAAAGATCATAAATTTTAATAAACTGAGGCAATGAACAACAGTAATTTGCAGCATCAAGAGCAATTTTACTTGGATAAATAAACAGCATTCCGATTCTTCTCACTGTCCTTAAAAATATATTGAAAAATATTGTAAATTTCGTTTTTATCGCCAATCAATAATTTTCTCGATAAAGCTGCATAATTCTGCTCCACTCGATGGTATTGAATCCGATTGAGCGCTTCCAATATGCGGGTCTTAGTGAAGTCGGGATCTGACTCTTTTACATCAAACTGTTCGGCAAAATAACAGAAATACAGAGAGAAAACAAAAAGATTGACTTAAATTATATACAAACGAATAAAATATGTATCGCAAGAATTGAGACTGATTGAGCCGACGATGTGTGCGTGTGAAAGAGAGTGCGGGAGCACAAATCGCGCTAAGCAGTTTGGCAATCGGCATTCGGACCCGACTGAAAACGACGAAACAAATTGCCGCGTTATCACAGCAGTACTCGAACTAGTTAAATGCAAGTGCCGGCAACCACCATCTCGACCATTGTTCAATGTAAGCGGCAGCGGTGTTATTTTGTGAAAATGATAAATGGCATAAAATTAACGTTGCAATAATCAGTACATTGTTTGGCCAATCATTTTCTCGGCGTTGTTTTTTAACTTTGTTTCATTCGCCTCTTTTAATCACCATCCAATGATGCCGGATCGCATAAGAAAAAGTGCGTATAAGATTGCGCATTGATTTACTTTCCGGACTGTTTTATTTGTGGCGATTACTTTTGTCTTTCACTAGCGTTTGCGCGTCGGCATACATTTTTACACCGTCGGTACCTATGTATTTCCTCCGCATATATAAGTGCAATTACATTCATTTCGAACGAATCGAATATTATTGCGTGCAATTAGTGAAATAAAAGAAAAAGGTACGCATTGCGTTTCGGGGATCATTTAAGTTGCGTGGAAAAATCTTCACAGATTTGCACTCACTGTTCCACAATTATATTTGCGCATAATTTCTCCCTTTAATCATCACTTCATTTCGATACCTTTCTTCGTTAATTATTAATTTGAATCGCATCAAGATCATTTTCACATTAGCCATTGACATTCGCACAATTTAGCACTTCATTTTTTTTAACTAGATTGTACACCATTTACATCCGTGCATCCCATAAATGGTTGTCGATCAACCGTAAATTATGTTCCGTCGAAATTTAATTGATAATTTACCTTCGATAATGCACCAAAATCGTGCAACACGTCCACCAAAATTTGCACCAAATTTGCAATTGGCAGCGCATCGAATGATATCATGTTGTAGTCCGTGTTAATTAGTTTGTTTACTTCAGAAACGATGAATTTTAAATCGGTCATTGTGTGTTTCGGTGTTTTTTGATTTTTTTTTACGAATTGCTTCTTGGATGTTGTCAACAGTAAATTGCAATGTAAAATGAGTTTTACGAATTCGTTTTTATGGTTCTGCTTTTTTTCACAAATTTTCACCTTTTATCGTCACAATTACTTCTGGGCAACTTATTTTTAAATCGTTCCCAGTTTTTTTTTGCACAAATAACAATATTAAAGGAAAACGAACAAACGCAATGAATGACGACAATAACAGAAAAAGAAATTATTTTCTCTCAGCACTTGTGATTCGATTGATGTGTTAATGGCACACAGTGTACAATGACAGAAAATTGTGTGAATATCGTTTCGATTTGACGAAGGGGCTGCATTGAGTGATTATCGTTGTTTTGGCCCTGCGGGTTGCTTGGATACGCATATGTTTATAAACATTGAAATTGACGGTTTCCATGACCGGCTTATTAACACCTTAGAACTGAACATTTTAGTACATATGCGCACCACATCAACTTTTCAATTTACTCCTTTTTTCGAAATATTCGGAAAAAAAGTGTCGTTTGCCTTTGTCATTCAAAAAATGTAAATATCTTTTTATTTTTTTGAATAAATTAAGGTGTTTAGTAAAATGGCTTCCAGCAGTGTCCAAATTAACTTTATCCGAAAAAGATAAAAAAAATTAATAAAAATCAATTTGTGTTACTCACATAAAAGTGCTCCAACAGCGAAAAACCACGATGATTTGTTGCGTGTGGACAATTAATTTGGGGTGTTTGATTTTTTTTATTTTTCCATCGGTCGATGCAACGAAGAAAATGAATAATTCAAATATGAATGATCGTCGCTGCTTACTGGCCGTACATTTTTCTTATTCATAGTGATTGCATGAAAATGAATGGTTAAATAATTATAAATGATCGTTTGAAATGGTTTTTTATAAGGAAATACGCGGAAAATGACTGAGCACATTTCCAATTTTTATTGATCATTCATGGTGTTCCCGTTACCATACACAGTTTCTCGCACGTCACTTCCATTTAATTCATTCACGAGCATGGATAAATAGAACCGTGTATTTACACATTACACACTGTGTGTGTTCCATGCCACGAAAAACCATTCACGAACAGAGGCGACGACAAGAGAGAGCGTAAATCGTATCAAAATATTTTTCTTCGGTTCGTTCCACGGCGGCCACCGTACACAAATTATTTGACATTATGTCAATTCTTTTAATTTATTGTGCTGTTTATAGCTATTTATCGCTTGATTAGTGCTTTCAATTTGTTTGATCGTCAATATATTTGAATCGCCGTGAAAATAATACTCATTCAAATGAAAAAAAAAATTGGTCTATCCCGAGTGATCGGCGTGTATTTTTCTTTTCTTTTTATGGAATTCGTTGTAGAAGCATGCTTTTTTTTCTTTCTATGTTGACTTGGAAAACCACAGCAAACACTTATTTGTGATGAAATTCCATTCAGTTGGAGAGTCTGTGTGTTGCTTGTTAGTGGATGCCATAAAAATTCATTCAAAAGCTGTAAACGGGCATAGTATCGTGCAATAAAAACTTAATTTAAAGAAATCAAAGGAAAATCATTCACAAAATCATTGGATCGCTCTGTGTCTGCTTGCTCTTTTTATTGTCATCGAAGTAGTGGCGGGTCTTTTGCGCCACACGTATCGATGTCCACGATACAATTAATGAATTGACAAAAGAGAATCTTTGCGTTAAATCATCTTTTGATCTATTTCCAATCAAATTGTGTGTTGAAAAACGAAGCCAATGCTCATCGGCGTGCAGTAAATGACAAAACAGCAATAATTTCGTTTCTTTACTAAATACAATCGAAGAAATTGACACGAGAGAGTGAAAAAGCAATAAGAATCGCAATTAGTTCTGCCCGAGGAATAATCTTTCACTTGAATTTCGTGCATCTTTTTTAGAGACATAATAAATAAATTTGACAATTATACTGTTAAAATGAATTGCCACTTCAAAAAGAAAAAAAAAATGTAAGCGCTCAAAACCACAATTTTCATTTTGGTCTTTTGAAATTTTGAGCCGGCTACTGCTGCTATTCTTTTGCATTTTGTATTTGAAAGAACAACAACAACAAAAAAAGTGCCTCAAGCAAATTTGTTTGGTCGGTATTTTTTTAATATTACAAACGCCTCGGTTGAATGTTTTGTTCATTCTTTGGTTAAGTTTGGTAATTTAATCATATTTGATTGATTTGATTTGCACGTTTTTCGATTACAAAACAACGGTGATTCATTTCGTTTAAATGTTGGCCGAAAATGCCGCATCTTTAACTCTTTTTTTTATTCATCTTGAAAATTGAACTATAAAATATACGGTTGTGAATCAAAGACATTTTATGTGATAAATTTCTATCCATTACAAAATTCTGATTGCAATATCCTTCGAATGGATAGAATAAAAGACGGGTGTGTGAGTGTGAGAGAGAGAGAGTGGAACTTCCTTTCTTATCAATAAATACCGTTTCGGGATATTAACTCAGTACATTATGACGTTTATTACAACGTATTTATTTTCGGCAACAAAAAGTTACATTTTTGCCTCATATAGAAACGACGTTCAAACAATTGCCCCGAAAACACAAATACAAAGGTAAATTTCAAATTGTGAGTTCAACCAAACAGACATTGAGAGTGCCTGTTTACACTTAATGTGTGGCTATAATTTATTGTGATGCGAATCAAAGTAATGCAATTTTTATATTTGGCTGTTCGTTTTCAGTTTCGCACCATAAAGCCCATACGTGAACCATTTCCCACAATGATGTAACCCAATCATTGTTAACTTTGATTCACATATGTGTGCGTGTGTGTGAGTGGCAATAGCAAGAAATATAGGGTAAGTAATTGTACGAGCCCAATTCTTCTTCTAACTAGAGTAATTTGTTTGCAATGCAGAGTATTGGGGTCGGCACTGGGGGAAATATTTTATTTTATCGCACATTGCAATTTGTTCTGGTTGCTTTATTTTCGCACGATAATGTTGTTTTTGATTGAAAATGGTGCGGAGTGAATGTGCATGATAATTTGGTTTTATTTGAATTTAGTATCAGCGACATACATGTTGAATTCAACAGTTGTTCTGTGAATGTAAAACGTCTATGTTATTTTCAGAAGCACACAAAAAAATCCGGGTTATCCTTAGACATAAAAATTTATTCATAATCTTTGTGAACAACAAAAAAATGATGACAAAAAATTTGGAAATTTATCTCAAAGGATTAAATGCATGTTTGTGTATGCGGTAAGTGTCTGCCTGTGATGTTGGTCCTGCATAATTAAATTTTGGCCGATGGCTGAATATGATTAAAATGAATATCCCCATTCCTGTATCCATCCGAGATTGTCTTTCGAATTGGTTGTTGGTTTATATTCACAGCCGACCCAATCATTATATCCAACATTTTCTAACACCTTAAACACATATTTGAAGTTCACTTCGCCTGCAGTATTCGGTTCACTACGATGAGGTGGCTGTGCAACCTAAATGTGTCGAAAATACGCACACAAAACAAAAAAGAAATAGAAGGGAAAGAAAAAAGAGCACAAAAATTGGATGAAAAGAAAATTTGCTTGGTCTTGGTATATTGCATTTTTTATATTATTGGCACTATGCGATTGCATCTCATTCTTTGGGCTTAATCGATTTGAAAGTGTTTGAAGTGTGAGCGAATAAATTTCTCAACTCTAATATAAAAGGTGTTTGGCATTGATTGCACACACCAAGCAAAACGAAAAAGAAAAACACAAACACGCACATCAGCTTAAATTGAAATTTCTAAGAATTAGATCAAATAAAATTCACCGCCTGCCAAGTGCCAAATACAGGTAGATAAAGAGAATAAAAAAAATAAACATCGCACAGATTCACTTTTATATCACACAAAGAATAAACACAACCGAAAAAGCAACAAACAAAAGCGCCATAAAAACTGACAACACCACCACCAAATCTGGCACTTTCGATAATAATAATAAGATCGAGATGAGAACTAAGCGAGAACTTAAAAGGAGCAGAGGAGGGAACAAAAATTAAATATTGTTCGGAAACTAATCGGTTTTTTCTCTCTTCATTCGAGATGTTTTGCCCGTATATTTGTGTAACATTCAAACCACTTACTTGAGCATGTCCAATGTGTGATTTCAAATCATTCAATGTGTTCGTTATGTTGCCTTTTATGAGCTGTAGGTGAAACAGATCCATCAATAACTTGATATTGCTATTATTCAATTTTTTCAAAATATTAAGTGCTGTAAATTGAATTAGAATCGGTTAGATCATAAGAAGCTATTCGAATTCTCAACATCCATTCCTTTTGTCAATGTTCGACCTTTCTCGTTTGGTGTCTATTGTGAATTTGATGTTTCATATTTTCGGCAGTGTTTTTTCTCTCACCCACCAATTGTCTTTTTTTCTTCTATTTTTCGTTTTTTTCTTCTTTCGACAGATATATTTGAGAAAAATGGCTTAAGCGCAACATTAAACACCAAACAAAAAGACGAACAAACATAATTAATGGATGTTAAGTTCATATAATCTTTAATCATACACAATTTTGGATCACACCTTTCTCATAGCTGCTCAAATAATATCCGGGAAGGCTATAATTATTGATCGGCTCAATCACACCAATAATACCAGTCGATTCCAATTGTTCACCTGCAAATTGCAAATTTCTACACAAAAAAAGAAAACATACATTTTCACACAAGTAATATAGGGTTGCTTCATACAAGATAAGGCATTTATTACCTTAAGTAAGTCTCGTCATTTTCAGGTGCACCCAATGTTGGTGGCTTTCCGGCCAAAATATGGATTCTGTGTAATGAAAATAAAAAAAAAATTTAAGAAAAAAACATCGTCGAAAAATTAAAAAAAAAAAAAAACACAAACTTTTTGCAATTAAAAGCCTTTGCATACTCCATTGTGCGTAGAAAATTGGCACGGAATTCATTTTCAAAATTTGGCAAAGAAGCGCAACCATTCGCCGCCTCTGGCTTTGTACCTAAAAATGATAAATTTGAAAGGTCTAGAATGTTTGGAATTCATAGAAAGGAAATTGGAAATTCTTCTGAATTCATATAACTAATCGAAAAACATGCTTCACATTTGTAGAAAAAAATCTACTGTATTACGCTGTCTATAATCAAGCAAACAATTATCTGCGGTTTTCTTTCATTAAGTAAAAAAAAAACCAAACTATTCGTGTCGAAGGATGAAACTAAAGCAAAATAACACCAATATGCCACAATTACTGCATCATTGATCTTGGAATTTAGAGGAAAAAAAGAAACGATGTTACAAATAAATCACTATCAAATCGAAAAGAATGAATGAAAAAAAAGAATCAAATTCATTCAGTGTTTGACGTCAATCAAATACGTGCGAGTATTTCGATTTTCCGCTTTAATTTAAACTAAATACAATAAGCTAGAATCTTTGGAAAAAAGAACAAAATTAAATATATTTAAATAGTTTGATGAAAATAAAATCGAATCAATTCATAAACCTATCAGAACACACAAGTTGTCTGTGGAAAATTCCCGAACACACAATTCGCTTTAATTCCATCACATAAAATAATAATTTTATTGCTTTACCCGTACTCATGTTAAGCAGTGCGACTTCAAGTCCGTTGTTTTTGAGTGCAGCAACCACTTCTCCGCTGCTCAACTCTTCTGGACAAGCCAATTCGATTCCACGAAAACCAGCTGCTTTTGCCAAACGAAATTTTTCAAAGATATTAGGACCATTTTCACAAAAGAGAAAATTTAAATTAGCACAAAAACGCAGAGACATTCTGAAACTGATGAAAAAAAAACAAACGAAATATTGTCGGAACTTTAAAAAAATATTGACGTTCTATTTGTGCCGCTTTTGTATTACTGAACACGGTTACTGTCATGTGTCATCTCTACTGTCATATGCGGTTCAATAAAAACACCGTTGTGCTTATATGTATAGCTAATATACATATTGGTCCGTATCGATATGTGAGTGTATAAGAGATACTAATCTAATCGACTGATGGGAATTGCGGTCATACGATAAAACAACATTTACTTGCATTATAAAATTTTTGATTTGATAAACTTTTCACAAATGATTAAACATTTGATTATATTACACTAAAGTGTATATATAGATTGTTTGCGGAAAAAGAATCAAGATGTGGTATGATGTGGTTGTTTGCTTAGAGATTGATAACGTTCATTTAATATGTTTACTCAAACATTATCAATTTTCCACAAGCCACAATGATAAATGGAAGGTCATGATACTTGATTTTTGTTTGACTAGCTGAACTATCCATCGTTTCAACAGTAGGATTTGTGTTACTTTTTTTGAAAGTAAACAGCTGTTCGATTTGCGCTGTAGCCATTGTAATGTCTTTACCTTAAAACCAAAAACAAAAACACTCAATAATTGTTTTATCAATTTTATTCTCTCATAAAAATGCATGGATTTATTTTATTGATTTCATATCGTTGGAACATTGAATTCCACATTGTAAAATAAAATAATTTCAAAAATGTATTGCTTTGTTCTATTATTTAAATGAGAAAGAGAGAAGATAGAATAAAAAAACGAGTTCATTAAACAAAGTGGTGGGTAGCAAAAAATCAAATTTAAATCCAATTATCAAAGAATTTGTGAATTTATCAAATATAAATCATGTTTATCTTCTCATTGAATTTAGAATAATCGGTAATTGGCTGGATGGGCTGAAACTGTGATTTTTTGCAAAATATCAGCGACATGTCCCCAATTTTTGGCCTGTGCAACCAATTGCATTTCTTCGAGGAAGTCGCGTTGCTGCTTTTCTTCATTCATCTTCGTCAACACCTTCCACATTCGACCGTGGTGTTGCTTCGTATATGCGTGCCACAACGACAAGATTAAGATCTGCACAATGATATTGAAATCGTGTTAATGTTTCGATTTAAGAAAAAAAATGATGAAACATTTACCTTTTGATCAAAATAGTCGGTGAATTTACCAACTTCGGTGAATATGGCGTCAATGTCATCGGCAACCGGTGTTATTTTCACTTCTGAATCAATTTCGCTTTGTTTTGCTTCGATCATATTTATTTTGCCCAGTGCGACTGCTTTTCGTACGTACGCATCCAAGAGGTTGTTCTTTTGCTTCTCCATCTCACTGAAGGATATTCATACACACAGAAAAAAATGGTGAAATTTAATTATTGATTGGTTAATTTGATACAAAATTACTCCAAACATTCAATCTCACACAGCTTCGATTAAATTCAGAATCTGATCACGAGATTTAACCGAAGATGGTCATGATTAAAATGCGTGGACAGTAATTAAATATTAAATTAGCCAACCCAAAATTAGATTCTGTACAATTAAGGATTAATTCTATCGTTTTCAACCATTTTTTTCTATGTGTATGCAAATGTTCATTGAATACTTATAAAATAAATGAAAAACTTAAACTGTATCTCACGATTTAATTTTGGCAGCATCTGCACGACTGTCATTCTTAAGACCGAAGTATGACAAAAGTCTATCAACATTTGTTCCCTTAATCACAGTATCGGCCAGTGTTACGATTCGCTTGAGTGTTGCCAACGGTGTATCCAAATCCTGTGTATTGCACAGCGATGATTTGAATGTCAACGGCAGTGAGTTCTTTGATTCGGCTACCTCCAATTTTTGAATCAACGAAATGTGTGCGGTCAAATATGTTGGGAATTCTTTGATGAGATTGGCATAAATCTTTTCAGCATCGGCCAATTCTGTTCGAAAACAATAATATTCAATTAATTTTCATTGTTATTGAAACATTGTAACACACACACACGCACCGAGCTTAGCGATCTGACCATTTTGATAGTCACGCAAGCCTTCCAGGTATTCATCATATTTACTCTTGCCCTCTTTATTGTTTAATTTTGTTGATCCATTCTTTTTCGCAACAGCCGGCCCATCGGGTAGAATATAATCGAAAGTGATTTGATCCAATTTTCGTGCCGTTTCATCCTTTGACGTGGACAAAACACCCTGTAACCAAGCACATTGATTGACGAGACCGGCTTTTGTTAATCTGAAATATATGAATCCGAATATGCCATGAAAATGTTTAAATATATTATGCGATTTGCGGTGTTTACTTTTCATTGCTCAATGGTGCAATATAGAATGGTACTGGCCGTGATGCTGGCACGATCAGTGATGTTACTTTCTTTTCACCCAGTACGGCAGCTTTGTAAGTGCTATGAATATCCAAATTTAATGGCGCACTCAATTTAAATGACGCAGTTAGTGTGGCATCGTTCAATTTTTCCAGTAGCTCCTTTTTCTCATGACGAACTTGAACTTTGATGGTATATTCACCTTTGGGCATTTTATAAAAATTGCTACCGGAATACGCATCACCGCACACGATCTGACGGCGATTCGAGTCAAAGCACATGTATAGTTGACTCTCAAATTCGGACTCGTATAGCACATTATTTAGCAATGGCAACGAAAATGCCACCTCTTGTTGTTTGCTCAAATTTAAAACGAATGTTAGTAAATTTTGATAGATTTGACGACCAAATGGCAGTATATCACGCGATGTCAATGGCGAAATCTTTGTTTCAGTTGGTTTCAATACCATTGAAGCGGTTTTCAATTGAATTGACGGTACCAATTCTTCGCGACACAACGATGTCAAATCGACACGATGAACACCGCTGGCATTATGTACCATTGTATCTAAGGCGAACAATTTAAAAACAAACATTTTAATATGAAGACTAAAATTCATTTTACTAGCTGCGGCAACTCACTTGGCAAACTAGCACGAACACCATGGAACGAAATGCTTGCTGAAATTGTTGTTGTACCGAAATTCGACCAATATTTTGCGATGCACACTTCAAGGATATTGTTTTGCTCTACTTTGAATGTGTGCAAAGTGTCATTTTCCGATGAAACTGGCAATATTTTTTGTGTATCGAATGTTTTGCAATATTTTTGTGGTATAATTTGCATTGTATGCACTAAAAACTTAGCTTGCGTTGATTTTACCTTGTCATTCGACCGAAGTCGCACCACTGAAATAAAGAGCGGTATTCATTGACTTTCAAAATGTAAATGAGTAGAAAATGTAATGCTAACCAGCCCAAGATGCATTGTTTGGCACTAAAATAAAATGACGCATAATCGTGTTCGGTTTGCATAAGACTTCCTCAAAGTCATGCTGCCAATTCGATTCGGGCGGCAGTACTATTGGTTGTACTACAGTTACAGGGATCTCAAATAATGTTCCCTTTTCAACGTCATCACATTCATAAGCTCGAATTCTGTAATTAATCAATAAATCAAATCCACTTTCAAAATAAAAATCGACAACAAAAAAATCAAATACATACTTTCCGGTGTGAACACCGGGTGGTAGTGTGGTTGGATCGATTTTTACAACGATTGAACGTGCCGAATAGCATAGATCCAAAAATGAACCACATTGAATCCATGGTTTTGACGGAATGAGTGTCAGTCGTTTGTTGAATTCAATTTTTGACTTTGAAGCGTATTTCTTCTCCATCATGAAAACCGGTTGAATGGTAACATTGAACTCTTCTGGTTTGTTCAATAGACCGCGTCGCAAATGAATGCCTTTTGCATTTTGTGATCCAACAGAGACTGAAAATCTTAAATTTCAAAGAAAATCGGTCAAAATTTGCACATTTTGAGATATTTAATGGTTGAATTACCGGACATCACGTTCAGAGCGATCATGGTACTTCACTAAATTATCATAGGCAGCGTTAACGTCCAGTAATCCATTACCTTGTGCAAATTTATCGACGTGCTGTAGTTGAGTGGCAGTGTTCCATAATGCCCGTTTAATACTATATGGCGAATAGTCAATTTTATTCTTCAATAGCCCTGAGATTAGTAAAGCAATTGAACCACAAACATGTGGGGCTGACATACTGGTCCCTATCATTATCAAACAGAAAATATTAAAGAAGCCATAAGAAAACCATAGATTTATTGCCTAAAACGATAAAAAAATAAAGAGTCTTACGGGAGTAAGACGAACTTTTCCGCACGG